CAATTGTCAATTTTTTTTAAGATTCATAATATACATGGCAAAAATATGCTCCAATTAACCCATATCATGAGATTTGTAGCATTACTCTATTACACAATGGTAAAAATTTGTAGTCCTAGTCTAAGCAAACACAAATCTGGTGAACAGTACTGTTTTTCTTATCCTGCTTCTTAGTCCGACATTACACCAAACGCTTCACTAAGTTAGTCCAGCTTAGTCCAGTCTAAGCCAGTCCAGCTTAGTTCAGTCTAAGCCAATCCAGCTTAGTCCCGGCAGCTAGTCCAGTCCGAGACAGTCCGGCGCAACAAACGCACCCTAAGAGTTTGGCTTCTGTCTTTTGAAAATTAGCAAAATATCCACCCTGAGTTGATCGTTAACTATTATTTTCAGATATGGCAAAGGGTGAACTCATTTCGTATGAAAATGTTTTTGGACTACTGATATTTCCGATATCATCGATATTTTAGACCTTGATAGGAATTCTATGTGGTAATAAGTCACTCATGTATCTTACCATACAATGTATAAAGTGTAAAATATTGTACTAATTCATTATATATAAATGATTATGGTGTGTTTAAACTTATTTAATTAATTACTACATATTTTATACATTCACAATGTTTGTCAACTCGTTATATAATCAACTTAAATCAGTTAAATCCATCATGCAATGCATTTCCTTCCAATTTTTTTTTTTTTGTGATAAACTAATAGATAATTGACTAAATAAACATCCTGCAAAGTTTCAATAAAAATTTCCAAAATTTTCTTACAATTTCCGTGGTTTTTATTCAATTTTTATCGATATCGATAATATCCCGATATTTCCATCCAAATTTCCATGTTTTTGGACTACCGATATTTCCGATATCATTGATATTTTATACCTTGCATGTGGATTCATGAATGCCCTCGAGACACTAAATAGGAAATTCCTATATATAGATATGTCAATTGATGAAAAACGGCACATGTGACATCAATTCAAAAGTCGGATTCTCTTTGTGAGGATCTCCGAGATTCTCAAATCACATTCGTTCATCGTATATTGTGCGATTAGAAATCATTGCAAATTTTTTTATTTAAAATTAAATATAAACAGTACATGACGAAAATTGACCACACGATGTATGATGAACATATGTGATTTGAGGATATTCGGAATCTTCACAAAGAGGATCCGGCAAGAATCCTCACTCACAATAATAAACCTCGTCAATGGTCACGTCAACAAGAAGCTAAAATGAAAAAGAAGGATTTTTGGACTTGAGTGCAAAGTAACATAGCGAGAATACGTTGCTCCACCTAGCTTTGTAAGTCCTAAAAAAATGAGATTGTTTTGTTTGCAATAAATAAAAGGGTGTTAGGGTCATTCACCTTGTAATCGGTAAGTTTGGATACTCTTCCTCTAAAGCTTAATTAAGACTCATTTGAAAATGTTTTCAAAATAATTAAAAACGATTTTAAAGAAAATGTGATAGGGCCATCTTAGTTCGGGATTCATCTTCTTTTGTAATTGTTGTTTGCTGTTTGAGATCTTATGAAAATAAATAAACAAAAAACAAAGGGTGTTATGGTCATTGCCTCGAAAACTTAATGGACGCGTATGGGTGTTGGTGTGTTTTTTACTGAAATAGACAAATTGCTGTGCTGCGTCTTTTGGACCAAAGTTTTTGTTTGTTTTTGTGTAAGTTAAGATCTAACACATGACTCGGTACTTCGAGGCAGAAAAGTTTTTCATGGAGACAATAATTATTAATTATTCGTTACTTTTTGAAATAGGAAATGAGTAATGATATCTTTACCATATTCTTTATACGATATTGGACCATTTTTTAATAGAAGTAGGACAATAAACATATGGGTCACATTTTTATTAGTGAGATTGTACATATTTAGTATAAAAAATACGGTAAAAATAATATTTTGTTTTTTAATATAAATAATAATGGTACAGGGTTAAACACATCTGATATAAAAAATACGGTAAGAATAACATTTTTGTTTCTTAATATAAGTAGTTCCGGTATAGTGTTAACCAATAGCATGCATTAAATATTAGGAAATTCAAAGCAACACAACATTCTCTACTTTCTTATCATGCTCGTTGCGTCAAACAAAAAAAGGCTAAGGGAAAGTTCGTTTTATTTTCTCTTCTTTATTTTTGTCTTCATTTTTATTTTCTCTTCTTTATTTTTGTCTTCATTTCATGAAATATATATGTGTGTTGTTGTGGATACAAATTTTGTCTAAGGCTGAATTGACGAAATTCTACCTATAAAAAAAACACCATTAGCCTAGTTGATGAACATAAAAAGAAAAAGGGTAAAGTAGTCTGAGAGATACTAAACAAAGAGAATTTTGAGTAGTAAGTGACGATTATTGATTTTCTTGTGTGACTTGCTCATTTATAGACCGAAGCCTTCACTCGCAGTTGAGGTGGGAGGTTGCAGGCTACACTAGACGGACCGCTCTGTTCTGCGAGTGATGGCACAGACTATTCTCCACATGCCGCTCGCGAGTAGTCCCAAAAGCCATGTTTCTAGGAGCGCAGGAGGGTCAGACACTCAAAGGGAGAGTCCAAAGGATCGGCTTCCTACCACTTTGGCCCAGGTATGCCTAGGTGGGTGGACACCATAGGCCCAATGAGCACCATGTCGACTCGAAAGCCTTGTACCAGGGAAGGCAAATGCCACATCCCTTTAGGTATGTTGGGGTCTGCTCAAGAAGATAAGGGTAAAATTGTCATAGAGAGCTTAAAGTTCACGTGTTCGTCTCTTCTTAAATATGGTTAATTTATGGAGTAATGTTATTCACACCATGTTTTTATATCACATTTCTATATCACCTTAGGTGACATCTGATGTAGACAGCCACATCATTTGAAAAAATTGCAAAACCCAAGGAAATGAAGGAAAAAAACTCATCGTTTATCACAATCATCATTTAATTAACTCGTTTTTCTAATTATTAGTTTATTAAATAATGAACTAAATTTAAAAATATGATTAATTCAAATGATGTGGCTGTCCACATCAAATGTCACCTAAGGTGATATGAAAATGTGGTACAAGAACATGGTATGAATAACATTACTCTGATTTATGTCTCCACAGGTATGTAGGGTACCATTTTCAAGGCCTATACATAACTTCTCTCTCTTAGTATTTTTTTTTTTTTGGTTACAAAAAAGGATTAGTGTATGCTGTAAGAAAATGTCATTCTTGTTCTTCTAGACCCCATGATCTAAAAATTTGTGATCACTTACCATTCGATGGTATTAATCCAATAATTGATAAAAATAAATGTTTTGAATTAAGCTCGAACAATAGGGACCATAATTTTCTTGAACCATGATGTAGATCTAGGAGCAGGAGAGTGCAGAAAATGGATAAACCATTCAATAAATATGAAGGATGCAAATTGCATTATTGTAACATCCCACATCGTCCAAGGGTGTGGATCATGTAAGCTTTATATGTATATTCCCATCCCTACCTAGCATGAGGCCTTTTGGGAGCTCACTAGCTTCGGGTTCCATCAGAACTCCGAAGTTAAGCGAGTTCGTGCAAGAGCAATCCCATGATAGGTGACCCACTGGGAAGTTCTTATGTGAGTTCCCAGAAATAAAACTGTGAGGGGGTGGCCGGGGACTCAAAGCAGACAATATCGTGCTACGGTGGAGTCAAGCCCAGATGTGATGGGAGTCCGGATCGGGATGTGACAATTATGCATCGAGTACAAATTAGATGGCCGGGGACTCAGAGCAGACAATATCGTGCTACGGTGGAGTCAAGCCCAGATATCATGGGAGCCCGGACCGAGATGTGACAATTATGCATCGAGTACAAATTAGATGTGTAAACCCTGAAGAAGGTGACTTGATTCCAAAGGAGACGTGCGAGGGGATTTGTGGATATACCATTCTAGATCCAAATGCATTATGCATCGAGTCTTGTAGACAAACCTATCTATGGCCAATCGATCATGACAAAATATGAGAGGAAACAACCTAGATAGCAAATTAAGCTTCTTATGTAACAAAGTTTGAGACTTCTGTGAAGATTTTTAAGGTCTTATTTCATTAGCTAAATGCTAATAACAATCTTACACCACAAGATTATCACTAATTTATCCACTCTTTTTGTTGTTGTTGTTGTCGCCAATAAGTATAGTTCACAAGGATATTAGCGATGTTAACAACACACAGTGGATCACAGACGACGATTGTCATTTGTCACAATAAACTTTAACGTGAACTACGTACCTAGGCCATATAGCCACCAAAAGAAGGGGCGGCAAGAATTAATGTGCATGGATTTGGATCTTCTGAGCTCAGGGGGTTGAGCCTCCTGAACTAAACACGTGGGCCATTGGATTTTGATCTAACATCTACAATTATTATAACTTTTAAAGGGGCCTCTTATTTGTAGCCTTTGGATTTTGATCCAACGACCCACGTGCTTTGCTCAGGAGGCTCAGCCCCCTGAGCTCAGGAGAGGATCCAAGTCCTTGTTTACGCAACTTGACCTAGAAAACAAAAAACAAAAATGATGAGTTAGCTACTTAAATTTACGGACCATTTGTCATATAAACACATGTATAATAATGGAAAACTTGACAGAATTGAACTGTATATATGGAGATAAACATAAACACCGCCTTTCGATTTGAAATGTAATGAACCAAAATGATGAGTTAGCTAGAGACACTGATATTGATATTGAACCGTATATATGGAGATACATTGGAACATCGTAAAATTTTCATAATTATATACCGAAAGTCTTAGAGCCGGAGACATTGATATTGATATATCGAATGGTATAGGGAGGGGCAAAAGTTGTGATGCAGTGAGAGGTATTTCTTATTTTTCGGTGTGAATAAATAGTGAGAGGGTTAGGGATGGCTGCCATGCCACGCACAAGTGTTTGATGCTGGAGATAAAACGGCCTTGTGAAGAGGATTACAATGTGATTAGTTATAATTAAGAAAACACTTCCAAAACCCGCCAAATAGCTTCTCTGGAAAACCCGCCAACCTCCCAACTACTTCTTCACCAAAAATCTCTCTCTCTCTCTCTCAGCATTTTATACTTGCATTTTAGTAGCTTTCAGAATATATCGAAATCCATAGCTCCAACAAAACTCCATCACCAGCATCAACCATGGCAATTCGAGGCTGAGGTACTTTGTTTAATTAATTTTCTTGTATTCTCCTCCACATTTTCAATGTTTTCTTTTCTGTTCATCTCATGATTCATTAGGCTTTTACCGTTTTTGGGTTATGTTTTTTCTCCACTATTTCATTGCTAGTTCTTTTTATAAAAAAAATGTGTATTAATTCATGGCTCTCGACGTTGAATCTACGAGATATAACTTGGTCTTCTTTGTTCATATCTAAGATTGTCTCCAAAGCCGGCCCTGAGATTTTAAAGATTGAGGCTCTCACGTACATGAATTTTTTCATGGACTACGAACTTTGGTTTTCCCTATTACAAAGATGATTTGAAAATTTATATAGGCAACTTAATACAATAAGTATGATACGCTAAGGTACAAGGAACATAATTTACACAATATGTATCATTCTATATTTCCATAATATTGGATCAATTTATCAAACAAATATACATTCAATTGTACAAGAAACGTGGGCAATGGTAAGGAAGAATTGAGAAACAAAGATTAAAAATGATTACTAGCTACTTACCAGAAAAGAGGAGTCCAAGAGCAGTCGATAGCCTGTTTACAGTACAGTACCATAAGCTTGATTATCAAAATATAATTGTTATCATTTGCACTACAACAGAACTGATCTTTTACGGCGCACAAAGAGCGTCGTAAATGGTTATTCACAGCGTGAACCCCTAAGCAGTAAAAGCCCTTGTCGTAAGAGATGTTTTGTCAAATGCGATGTACTCTAGTAGTCGTCAATAATTTAAGCAAAATATGCCGTAAATGCTCTTCAAGGCGTACCTTATTTGGTATTAGATACAACGTTAAATACTGCAAAAACAATTACGGCAATACCAGTGCGTCATAATTTATACTGCGAAAACAAAGCCAATTGGCTGCTGTTTATCCATTTTACTTTTAATTAGTTGTCTTAGGATTAAAATGTTTAAGACAACAGCAATAAACCACAACGAAAAAGTTAGTGAAGTAGTTAAAAGGGTGAACAAAGTTTTGTTGAATTCTTATCAAAAGTACTATTTTAGAGTTAGAAATTTTTAACATCACATTCATATAGATAACTGTTTTGAAGGATTCTAAGGGATCGACCTATGCAAATTTTTCTGTACTTTTATTTGCTTGGTTTCGTTGAAATTAATTTTAATTGATGAAGGATGTTTTTGTGAAACAAACCGTTGGAGCTTTCAGAGATGCAGCAACAAAAAATGGAGCAACCCGAAGAGGAGTTGAAGAATGTGGAGGAGCAATTGCAAGCAGTGGAGGTAGAAAGAGATCGAGCTGTCGATGAGCATCAAGAGACGAAAAAAGTGGCAGAAGAGGCCAACATGAGGCTTAGTGAAGAATTGGCAACGCAGAATGATGTCGGGATGCTCTCAGAATTAAGTTTCACGAAGGAGCTGCTGTCGAATGCAAGGCAAGAACTGAAGAGTACAGCGGAGAATATTGAGTCTTTGAAACTTGAGTTGGGAAAGGCCAAAGGTGTGGAGCTCAAGTTGACTGAGAATGTAAAAACCTTTGAAGCTCAAGCGAAGACTTTATTGTCTCAAAACGAAGAAAGGATTCGGGAATTGGAGATCAAAGCGGACAATGCAAAAACCTCGGATGCTCATGCAAAGGCCTTATTGTCGGAAAGTAAAAAAAGAATTCGCGAATTGGAGATGAAACTGGCAGAGAATATGAAGTCCACTGAGGCAGAGGCTCACACAAAGGCTTTATTATTCACAAAGGAAAAAAGAATTCGGGATTTGGAGCTCAAACTGGCAGAAAAAGCGGAAATCTCCGAGCCTCACATGAAGGCTTTGTTGCTCAAAAGTGAGGAAAGAATTCGGGAATTGGAGTTCGAACTGGCAGAGTATATGAAGTCCACTAACGTAGGGGCAGACACAAAGGCTTTACCGTCCGAAAGTGAAAAGAAGGTTGGGGAACTTGAGGTCAAAATGGCAGAGAATGCAGAAACCTCCGAGGCTCAAACGAAGACTTTATTGCTCAAAAGTGACGAAAAAATTCAGGAATTGGAGCTCAAACTGGCAGAGAATGTGGAAACCTCTGAGGCTCATACAAAAGCTTTATTGTCAGAACGTGAAGGAAAAATTCGAGACTTGGAGCTTAAACTAGCAGAGAATGTTAGCACCTCCGAGGCTCGCGCAAAGTCTTTATTGTCTGAAAGTGAAGGAAGGATTCAGGAATTGAAGCTCAAACTGGCAGAGAAGGTGGAATCCTCTGAGGCTGAAACGAAGGCTTTATTGTCTGAAAGTGACAAGAGAATTCGAGAACTGGAAATGGAAATAGAGAAAAGGAAGCAATCAGAAGCAAGAATTCTTGATTCATTGATCACCCAAACCAACCAACTTGAACAGACCAAGGTTTTACTTGAAGAGGCAAAGTTTGAGAGTGCCTCTTTTCGCAAGAAATTGGAGAACGAAGATGAATCCGCCGAAAGTAGTCAAGATAGTAGTGCATCTCATGATCATGATCAACCCGAAAGTAATATTTCCATGAAGGAGGAATTAGAGAGTCTCAAGTCTGAGCTTCAATTGACAAAGGAGAATCTGGTTGATGTCCAAAAAAAGGAGCAACTTGCTACGTCGATGGTTGAGAAATTACTTGAGGAGATTAAAGTACTTAAACATGAACTGAAGTTGGCAACCGAAGCTGAAGAAAATGGAGGAAGGGCGATGGATGATCTGGCTTTCGCATTGAAAGAAGTTGCGACAGAAGCCAACCAGTTGAAAGATAAACTTTGCGTGAGCCAAGCAGAGTTAGAGCACTCAAGAGCACAAGAAGAGCGTCTGAATGCAATCTTAAAGAGCAACGAGGAAAGTTACAAAACGCTACTGGATGAAGCAAGGAGAGAAGCCGAAAGACACAAAAACGTTGCTGCCAGGTTGAAAATAGAACATGAAGAGTCGGTTTTGGCATGGAGCGGGAAAGAAACCGGCTTTGTTAATTGTATTAGAGGAGCCGAGGAGGATCGACATGCTGCACAACAAGAGAACTTTAGATTGCACGAGTTGCTTCTAGAGACGGATAATAGAGCCATGTTATCAAAGGAAGAAAATAGCAAGTTGCGCGATATACTTAAGCAGGCCTTAAATGAAGCAAATGTTGCAAAAGAAGCTACCGCCATTGCTCAAGCCGAAAATTCTCAACTCAAAGATACCCTGGCTGGAAAAGAGGAGGCCTTGAATTTCCTTACTCGAGAGAACGAAAATTACAGGGTAAATGAAATAGCAGCTCATGAAAATATTAAGGAGTTAAAACGGTTGCTTATTGAATCGTCAAAGAATGAGGAAAAAGAGAAAATACCAACAAAGGAGAATGATTGCAAGAAAGAGGAGAAGGAGAAAACGTCGTCAAAGGAGAAAGACTGCAAGAAAGAGGAGAAAGAGAAAACGCCATCAAAAGAAAAGGATTCGAAGAAGGAGGCTAAAGAGAAAACACAATCAAAGGAATTGAAGAAGGAGGTTAAGGAGAAAAAACCGCCAAAGGATGTGAAAAAGGAGGATACAGGTAAAGAGAAACCGCCATTATCAGGGGACGCAAAGAAGGAAGATAAAGAGAAAACATCGTCAAAGGATGACAAGGACACTGCAACATCTCAAAACGGAAGCATATTTGGCAAAGTTTTCAGTTTCAACCTTAAGGAGCTCAAAGTTTCAAACACGCATGAAGAAGTTGTTGATCATGACGATGATGAGATTGAACTAGACGAGGCTCTGAAAGACTCGATATTTGAGGTAGACTCTCCAGGGTCAGCTGATCACCGAAGAAATTCTTCTTCTACGTTCACAGACGATGGAGATGGGTTCCAATCGGATGATTATGATCATCTAGATGGAACTCCAGGTGAGAATTCAAGGAAAAAGAAAGCATTGCTACGAAGATTCGGAGATCTTATAAAGAGAAGCACTACTTATAGTACCAAAAAGGAACCATCGCCGGATCCGAAAAAGGAACCATCGCCGGATACCAAAGAAGAAACATCACCAACCAAAAAGGAGCCTTCACCAGAATAGTCAAGCTGTATTTTTGCATTGTTCTTCTTGTTTTCAGTTAGATTTTCTGTACATATTCATCTACTTTGTATGATTTGTACGTACTTCGTTGTAGTTATAACGTACGTGTTTAGTTTTTGTTCACACTAAATATACAACATAATTTTCTCTTTCTCACCACAATATTATAACTTGATGTGCATTGTGCGATTATACATACAAGTCATTGTTGTTTCTTATAGGAATTGCACCAAGTATTATTTCACAATATTACACCAATGATCCAATTCATTAATTAATTTACTTATTCCACACATCTTTCCTTCTCATACATATTGATTTCTTCCTAAATGTCTAGCTAGGAACCCTTGGGTTGGTCTAGTGAAAAGCGCGCAAATGTTTGAAATCGTCAAGTCAAGTTTGAAATTGCACATATACATTCCTTGAGCCTACTGACTTTGCTTTAACATATACTGTTTCACTCAGAGGACACAAAGTCGTCGCCTTTTCTGATACTGCATAGAGAGAGATTAATCTGCAACCTATATTCGAAAAGTATAGATGCAGTTGCAGTCCCATTCTTCGTGCCCAAATTAAGCCATATTTTAATTAAACCAATATCTTCAACATAAGTTACTCAAATACTTTGGGCCCTTAAGGATTTACGTAAAACAATACATCGCCATGGTGACGTTTCCTACCATAGAAATAAAGATATACGTAAAGTTTTTGTCCACATGTTCTTTTTTAATTAAAATAAGATATTATGTGACTGTGTACTCGTGTCGTATAAATTGTTATCTATTTAAGTAGTGGGTGAGGCAGGCCTTAGCCCGGGAACGTGAAATACCACAACCCGGCCCACGTGGGTGGTAGGGACCTTCCATAACCTTCCTTCTTTTTCTTTCTGTTTCGGTAACAAAAGCTGTCACGGTTCGAACCGCCAAAAATGGCGCCTGTGAGAAGCACAGGCGCTATTGTGGCGGCAGTCTCTGTGTCAATGGCGTTGCTCTCTCTCTTCCTCTACAAGTCCAAACTCTCCTCCAAAAAGACCAAACTAACCCTGCCCTCGAAGAAAAATCACACGAATGGCCTCGTTGGTGCCATCGGCAACACCCCTCTGATCCGCATCAACAGCCTCTCTGACGCCACCGGCTGTGAAGTGAGCAATTGGGGTTTTCTCCAATTATTTTTTCTGGGTTTTCATTTGTTTCTTCAATAATTTTTGTTTTGAATTTTTGGTTTTTTTTTTTTTTTTTTTTTTTTGGTTTTTTCAGATTCTTGGGAAGTGCGAGTTTTTGAACCCGGGAGGGAGTGTGAAAGACAGAGTTGCTGTCAAAATTATTGCAGAGGTAAAAAGCTTCTTTTATCTGGCTGACAAATTTGATTGAAAAGAAATTAAAATTATGCATGTCTTGTATTTGTAAGTTAAAACTCGTGGAAAATATAACTGGCACCAGTGGTCATTAGAGTAATTCTTCTGGAAAGTAGAGTTTTTCGAAACTCGAAAGTAAGTTTTGGCAAACTCTAAGGCCCGTTCGATAACCATTTCAGTTTTTAAAAACGTGAAAACAAAGAAAACTGAAAATAAAGCGGACTTAAACAGTTGTTAGTGATACTTGAACATTGTTGTTTAAGCTTAAGTCGACTTAAAGAGTGTAGCTTCTGAATTTTCGTTCGGTTAAATGAACTTTGTAAATTTATTTATACTATAATCAGTTGTAATGAGTTGTTGGCTGACTGTGATTGATAGGCTTACCGAGTCGCGCAAATGTTCTGATTTTTGGTTCTGTACAGGCTTTGGAATCTGGAGACCTTGCTCCAGGTGGAGTAGTCACTGAGGGGAGTGCAGGAAGCACAGCTATAAGCCTTGCTACGGTTGCTCCTGCTTATGGTTGCAAATGTCACGTGGTTATACCTGATGACGCTGCTATTGAGAAGGTATTTAGAGAATGCATTTCGGATTGGCAACATTGATTCATGAACTGTTTATAAGTTACAGGTACTGTTGGGGTGTATCTGATATGAGCAAACAACAGAAACCCCGCGGTACCAGAAACCATGATCTCCCTCTCCCCAGTTTCATTTTTCCTTCAAAATAAAAAATTAGGTTCTGCGATGTGCTGAAATTTGCTTCTGTGGTGCCAACCTTTTTTTTAGTCTCAAATACTTGAAGCCCTGGGAGCGACTGTTGAAAGGGTAAGACCAGTGTCAATTACGCACAGAGACCACTTTGTGAATATTGCTAGGCGACGGGCAACGGAAGCAAATGAATTAGCAATGAAGCATAGGAAAGATGAACAAATGAATGGCCAAGCCCTTGAGCAGACTAATGGTTTCCAATGTGATGGAGAGAAACAAAGTGTGGTATCAAGTTACACAGGTGGTTACTTTGCTGATCAGTTTGAAAATATGGCAAACTTCCGGGCCCACTATGAGGGTACCGGGCCTGAAATTTGGGAACAGACTGGAGGAAATGTAGATGCATTTGTGGCGGCAGCAGGAACAGGTGGTACAGTGGCTGGTGTGTCCAGGTTTCTCCAGGTCCACTACTGAAACCACTTAAATTGTTTTATTTTACTCAACTTATGTGGAATTGTAAGAGGTCGCACTTGGTGCGATGGCAAGTGCCTTCGCCCATGAGCAGTAGGTCTCAGGTTCGAGACTTGGGAGCAGCCTCTCCATAAATGGGGTAAGGCTAGCCGACATTCACCTCTCCCAGACCCTGCGTAAAGCGGGAGCCTTGTGCAATGGGTACGACATTTTTATGTGGAATTGTAGTTGTGTTAACCGCATTTCCTTTTGTTCAACAGGAAAAGAAGTCTAATGTTAAGTGCTTCCTGATAGATCCCCCTGGTTCCGGTTTATACAATAAAGTTACAAGGGGAGTGATGTACACTAGAGAGGAGGCTGAAGGACGAAGGCTAAAAAATCCATTTGACACGATAACTGAAGGAATTGGAATCAATAGAATAACAAAGAACTTTATGATGGCAAAACTTGACGGGGCTTTCCGAGGCACAGATAAAGAAGCTGTTGAAATGTCCAGGTCAGTCCTTAGACTTGTTTGGTTATTCTTAGTCACCACTTTTTCGTCGTGCTTTCTAATATGCCGAGAAGTTGAGAAAATGGAAGCAGTTGGGATTGAATTTTTCTCAACGTCGTCTATGATTCCTGTGCTGTCTAGTATATTTGTCATTTCGAAATTGGTCAAACGGTATTCTTAGTATGTTCAATCATATTCCCATTCATGTAAGATAAAAAGTCCCAATTTCTTCCATTCACTTGGCAACGTTAAACCAAGAATATTTAGTTGTTTTTCTTGGCCTTGAGCTTGTATTGGTTAAAACTTGTTCAGGTTTCTTATGAAGAACGATGGGCTCTTTTTGGGGAGTTCTTCGGCCATGAATTGTGTTGGAGCAGTCCGAGCGGCACAGGCACTTGGTCCCGGTCACACAATTGTGACCATTTTATGCGATAGTGGGATGAGACATTTGAGCAAATTTTTCAGCGCTGAGTATCTGTCTCAATATGGATTGACACCCTCGGCTAGCGGATTAGAGTTCCTGGGTGTTGGATGAGGTTCTGCATCGGCCAAGAGGATCCATTTCTCTCTCTGCAGTTCCATCCAAAGAGCAGCAACACTTTAGCAGTCACATTCAAGAGATTAACATGACAATTCTGTTCGATTAAATTCCCGAAGATTACATAATTTTGTACTGGCAAAATGTTTGCATCTCTTCGATTTTTCATCTACATTGTCGATTTTAGGGCGTTGAGTTCTGTATTGAAATGAATGCTTCTCTTTGAATGTTTCTCCGGGCATCCAAGTAAGTTAATACGACGCAAATCACTTGTTTAAATGACCAAATTCTATTGCGATAAATTCTGGAATGTTATTGTCAAGATACATGGCCTCCAATGTCTCGGAGATACAAAGGATCGAAACCTAACACGGGATGCAAATTTCAAATGTCTCGAGCAATTTATAACATGCGATACTCGGATCACCGGCTGTTCCACTTCTCGAACTCAGACTCATGGCAGTGTGGGTCTAACCAATCCCTGTTAGAACCCTTTGCCATGCTGCTGCTTCCTTTCCCATCGCCCACAAGCTCTCTCAGATTCTCCAACTTATTCTCTCGGCCTGCCCCGGTACTTTTCCTATCCGCTTCCTTCAGTTTCTGCTTGAACTTCTGCTTACGACCACCAGGGTTTACCTCTTGCTGCTTTGATTGCGAAGGAGGAGCCCCGTGCGGTCCTAAGTAGATCTTCTCTTCTTTTTCCGCCTGCACAAAAAGCATATATCTTCAGCAAATAACCATTTCCATGCTCACCGAATTCAAGACTTAGGGCCATCAGATGCAAATGTATATTTCCCTTTACTCCATACAAGGAACTAGAGCACTTCCAACTGACCTTCGGAGATGGAGGTTTTGAAGCTTCCACTGTTGGAGCATCCTGATTTTGTTTATCTTGCTCTTCAACCACCAAGCTCGGAATCACGAACCCATCAGTGTCTAATGCAAAAAGCAGTCAAACATTAATCTCGAAACAGTTAAATGCACATCAAACGAATTCAAAAGGTATGTTATATTGCTGAAACCACTAAATGAAGGAAGGTGATTTCAGCACACCCCGTTTCTCCTTCTACAATCCTCTGTTTATTTCTATGTGCCTTTGACTCCATTGATATATTCAAAATAAAGGGCAGAGAAAGAAAAGAAGGTGTGCAGGGGAAGAAAAGGGTGTGCGGAAATCATTTGCCATCAAAAAATCGGTACCAATCAACCATAATGTGCCACACACAAGGGAGAGAAACTTGCGCCACAAAGAGTTTCCCTAACCTATATGCCTCTAGATAATAGAAACTATGATCAGTTTATGGCTCACACTTTCCAGATGTAGAAATAGTAAACATTGATTATACAAATCAACAATAATTGAGTAAAAAAGATTTAAATCCTAAAAGTACATGTGTATAGGGGCCAATTCGATAACCATTTCGTTTTTCATTTTTGGTTCACCTTTTGTGTTTGTGTTAGACGGGAAATACAAGGGAAATGAGGGGATGAAGAGTGGATGAAGGATGGTCGGAGTAACGTAGAAGAAATGCATAAAGAAAGGCACACAAACTAAAAACCAAAAGCTATTTTAAATTGTTTTTTACTTCTAAGATTTTGTTTTCAATCATTCATCTTTTATTTCTTCCCCTCTCTCCCATCTCCCTTCTTCATCATCCCTCCTTACCCTCATATGTTTTCCTCATATCTCAAGAACAAAAACTGAAATCAAATAAAAACAAAATGATTATCAGACGGACCCTAAGTTTCGAATACACATTCAGAACTTTGGTGCCCATTTACACTAAAACTCGCGCACAACGCAAAATCCACGTACTAAATACCACAAGTTACTGATCCTGTAGCCAAGAATGTAGCTAACAGACTACGTTGCAATGCCAAAACAACATCTAACACCAAATAATTAGAAACCAAAATGTGTAAGCATAACCCAATTTCAATAGAAGCAACCAATTCCCAGATGCAGCACAACGTGCATAACACAATAAGTGGCTGAGGATAAACTGATTTTTTCCAAAACTAAATGAAACCCATAGAGATTATGCAAAAATATCACAATCTATCTATTAAACTTTCCACCAAATTTTCTCAGTAACCAAACAAGGAGATTATATGAAAAGAAGATGAAACCACAGATGGGAAAAGTGATACATATCATACCCCACTCATCTTCTTCTTCGAGAGGTGGAGTGGTTCGCACTGGAGAGGGGTCCATGGGACGCTGATGATCATGGATTTGACAAGCCACAGGGCGCAAAAGCCCAGATCAAGATCAATAGAACGGCTCAAATCCAATCACCAACAGCAACACAACTCCCAAATGAGAGCCTTCCGCAAATCTGATGAATCGCAAAACCAGCTTATTGTTTTCAGAAAAACATAAGCAATGCCCAAACGTAACCCTCTTTTGCCAAAATTCTTCAAAAAAAGTTTTAAAGTAAAATTGTTTTCTTTGGTTGGTTGGCAGCTTTGGGCTAAATGATATTTTCGTCATTGACGGGAAGTTGATTTCTCGGATGACTTCTATTATTCAGGCTTTACTTATTATTCTATTTATTATCCATTTTTTAGTTAAAATTATCTTTAAAATTAGCATAACTTTGGTTTATGATATTTAAAATCGATAAAATTAGTCTCTTAGTTTGTCCATCATCAATCATTTTGGTCATTATGTAAAAAATCTTTGTTAAATAATAATCAAATGACAACAATGCTCTTCATTTAATAAACAATTGGTCAAAATGATTTTACAAAAAAATGAGGGTATTTTTTGTCATTTTACCTTATTTAACATAGATTTTTCATGAAATAACCAAAATGATTGATGATGGACAAACTCAGCAACCCGTTCTATCGATTTTAAATCTCATGGACCAAAGTGAGGAGTTATGTCAATCTCAGAGACCATTTTGGTTAAAAAACCTTTAATACCGTTAGATGCGTTTAAATTTCGAGATCTATATAATAGATAGACACAAATCTCAAAATTAAACTCATCTAACGGTGATAAATAGGGCATTAAGCATTACCACTTCTTGAGGGTTGTGAACAAAAATGCATCCTAAGCAACGGAGGTTTGTTGAGAAATAATGTTGGCTAGAATATGGACACATGGCACGTCTGTTAAATGGTATTGAAGCCAAGAGAAAAATATTAGGAGTGGTCAGATTGTAGACGACTGATGCTAGCAATACTCTTTGAAGCGAAATACAAAATTGTGGTCAATATGTTGCCTTTAGTCTCTCCACTAGATTGACCGATGATAGACGCATATTTATGCGACTTAGTTAACTAGTTTTCTTGCATTTACGTTATTAGTTCTTAGTTATTTTAGTACTTTAAGCCATTTTCGTGTGTTTGTAGGTCCAAAGGGCTAAGGTAGCAAGAAAGTGCATTTTGGTGCATTTTGGAGCAGTTTTGAGCTTGTAATGGATTACATATGATATGAGCAAGATGGATGGACGAATTTGAAGACAAAAGAGGCTAAGAACATGCTAAAAATCTGGTGAACAAATACAAGTTGCAAGAAGGGATAAATTTCTAAAAGGATTGGCCAAAACTTCACTCAAAACACATCAAAGCCGTGACTTTTACTTCCACCTCCACCAAAAATTTGAGTAATGATGCAATGCTTAAATCACCATGACATGTGAGTGGATGATGCAATGCTTAGCTAACCATGACATGTGAGTGGATGATGCAATGCTTAGCTAACCATGACATGTGAGTGGATGACTCAAAACCTACCCCAACAACAACTCCCACTCAATGCCGTGACTTACCTACCCATTCCACCAGAAATTTGTGCTTAAACAAGTCCATCATCTCCCTATAAATACCATGCAGCAACCTCATTGAATTCATCCAGAAATTAACCATTCTCCAAGCCTTTCCTTGCCTCTCCTACATATCTAAACCCCTTCCCATCCATTCCTCCAAATAACCAACCCTTCAACATCATTCCAACCTTGTTGTGGCGGCAAGGAGAAGGAGAAAAGTCCTTGGACGCGCTTGCTATCCAACATGGATCGTTGGAACGTTTAGGTGCTTTCTTCCCTTTGTTTTTCAATGGTTAAATTTGTTTATCTTTGTTTTGTAATAATGAGGAACTAAACCCCCCTTGGCTAGGGGGGGATTCAAAAACCATGTTTATGCTTGCTATATGATTTGATTACTTCCAATTGCGTTTCTTGAATTGTGAATTCAATTTACTTATCCGTTCGTATAAAAACTAATTTGTGTATGTTGGTTGAAAGTGCACGCTTAATTTTCATGCATGAATTTGACGCTAGAATATAAGGGAGTTTCACCTAATCGTTATGAACTTATATTCACAAGTAGTGAAGGTTGCTAGTCACAATCACGTTAAGTAAATTCTTGGCATAAGTTTCATGCAAATCATAGTAACGAGTGCCTCGTCAATGCTTATGTTTTTCATAGAACTTAATGATTCTTGCTTGTATCTCTATTATGCAATTCATGTAGGGAACTTGTAGGGAGTGTTTTGGGTTGTCGTATGCAATCATCCAATCTAATAACTTGTTGAAAAAATGAGAGTTAATTAGTGCAATTCACGGTAATTTGGGGCGTTGAGTATTCATAACTTATCGAAGAGCAATTGGAAATCATTTTGTATGCAAGCAAGACATGTGTGGAGAAGAACCCCTTAGCTAGCCTTCCATTATCCATTCAACCCAAATTTGTTTAAAATCTATTTAAGTTTTTAGTTTATTCGTTTTTACTTTCAACTTCACCAAACTCAAATCCCCCTTTTACTTTCTTGTTTTAAAGTCTTTTGTTTACATTTTTAACTTTGTTTCTTTTTGTTTTTGAGTCAGTTTAGAGGTTTTAGCAAGCCCTCCTAATCCCCGGTTTAGAACGATCCCTACTTACATCTATACTACAATTGTCAAAAAGAGGGTTTAATTTGTGTGTCAAGTAATTCTCGCATCAACCGACTCCATAAGTCTTGACATTAGACATGGATCATGGCATGGCATGGCTTGACCTTGCACCTTACCAACATGGAAGGAAAGACAATGCGATGTTGGCTTCAAAGAGCAATGCTAGCTTCATTCGAAAGGTGCAGGGCAAGCTATGTTGGACATGTTGGCAAGCTGCGACACTTCGTTGAGACATATATATGTGTTCGGGCAAGTTAGGATGTGAGTTGTACGCAGCGTGTTCATAAGGTTGCAGAAGGCAGTAAGTGTGGAGTGCTTGCGGTTAAAGATTCGATTTTTTAGTTTATGTAAGCAAGCTTCCGCTTTTAATTGTTAATAAATCATATGTTATACTCAATTATCTGAAATAAGACAAAATTTTCCATAATTCCCTTTCTTTCTCTGCCACATGGACTCCACATAAGCATGTTAACAAAATTCAAGTAATGTGGGATATTTAGTTGAGTTTTAGAGTGTTAAAGAGAAACGAATTGAATTCTAGAGAAAGAGTTGAAACTAAAATCAAGTTCAAAGGACTTTATAAAAAATAAACCTTAAATTAATAAAAATCAACCACTTGTACTGTTTTCATTATTCGCAGAATCAAAAGTAACAAGAAAATGACACAACACTTTGAATTCAAGACATATTGAATGTCTTTATACATGATTACATTTGTGCACGAGTAAATTATTAAAGTGCACTCAAAGTGGGGAAAATAGTAGGGATGATTGCTAATTGCAATTAACTTTTTATAAAGCATTTGTGTATTGACCTAATTACCATAGAGATGTACTCAACGGTTATATAAAAAAGAAAGTTTGATTTGTCTTCTCATTATTCAAATAAACTTTATGTGAATTGTGATAATATTTTGTTGTCCCATTAGAAATTCGGAATCACGATCTTATATTGCTGCATAATCTAAACTAATCAATCAAATTCTGAATCTAGCAATGGTTTTTTTTTTTTTTCTTGTGTCAAAAATCAACTAGCAATTGATTACCGGTAACTGTTTCTTTTCTGTTGGATGAGATCTTGTTGGTATGTTATTTTGCATGTGGTCAATTTAAATACAGTGACGGATTTAGAATTCTAATCTTGAAAGATCTTATTTGTTTAGGCTGCTCTAAACCCAAAAAACAAAAAAAAAAAAAACAAAAAACAAAAAAAGGAAAGGGCTAGCGTAAAACATCCAAGTTTTATCTAAATGAAAATTGTGCACATAGCATGCAAATATTTTTAGTGAGAAAATTTGTTGAGCACTAGGTTGAGTCTATCGTCATCTATGTTCGTGTCGAAAAAAATGCCAAAGCAATTTACCGAGTGATGTCGAGACTTTGTGCCAAGTGTTGCAATACATCTTGCCAAATGTTGTCGAAATTTTCATAGAAGGCATTTTATCAAACACTTAATAGGCACTAAAAGGTCTCTTATCTAACATTCAAAGGGTCGCCGAATGACCTTCACATGCGTTTACTTGGCTTTAGGAGGGTCCCAACTCTCTACGTAGATTTGCACATGATTAAACCTATGTTTTTTTTTTTAACAAATGATATTATTTACACTAAAAGGGTGGGCTTAACCTCACAATGAGCTAGCAATAATGTGGTTCAAATTCGTTTTTAGTGAGAATCGAACCTAAGACTTCTCATAATACAAGTGAAGAAGAATGTCACTAAACTGTAGTACTAAATGGCGCTTAAACCTATGTTTGTAAATATTCTGACATATCCCGACCTAGATCGAGGCATGCTGGCCGTCACGTGAGAATGACATAGCCATGTGCACAGTGCGGAAGCAATAGAGATATAAGGAAATACGAATAGCTAAAAACCAAATCAACTAGAGCACTAGATAAGATAAGGTGCAAGTGTGATATTAAGTGTGAGTTCACAATCAGAGTATAAGTAGCCTAAGTGCAGTCTAGCAAGATGAATACTAATTATACAACCACAAAGATAATCCTACATTGGTGATAATCTGTCAGAGCTGCTGTGAATTCCTCGTAAGCCACTGACAAGCATTCCTAACTAGAACTTGGAGGGGTGCAAAATAGAAAGTGTGAGTGGGCAAAAACAAAGCTTTTCAAAACCATTTCATTTAACAAAAGTTTTAACCCCTCGCCATAAAACCTGTATAATTTCTCAAAAAAATAATATATGCTATATTAGAAATCATGCTCAGGATGAAAATCCATAGAAATATACCATGCCAAAGTATCTCAATGAAATGCCATAAGTAATCCAGTTAAAATATATCAATGCCAGATATTATATCAGCCAGATCCACCTGACGTGACCTACACGGCTGCGCCTATAACTGATAACCAATCTCAATCATATCAAATCCTGCACACGAGTCGAAACCACCTAAAATGGTATGTACAACAAGACTATGTGTAAAATAAATATGCTCTAGTGCTACGATTATGTGAAGACTGTGCGAATAATCGCGGGTCACCTACGAGTCGAAACCACCTATAGTGGTATGTACGGCAGGACTGTGCACCTAACTTGGATCCAAGGTGAGCGTATGGTGTGGGAGGTGAACATCACATGAAGGCCTGTGCCCTGGCCACGGGCGGGAGCACTAACACCAGGGTATATGTTTATAGATTCTCAACACATCTCACATAATCATCAATTCACATATAAACAATCTACAACTTACCTAAGCGTCCACAACGTCAAATCACATTATGCATACTATAGTAATTCATACTCTAAATATAACTCAATATGCATGGCATTTCAAAACATAATTTCATTTAAAAGCATTTTCTGGGAAAAATACCAAGTATATAAGTATATACTGAAAACTAAAAGCCCACTCACTGATATGTGGAAGGGTCGTAACCCCTGAGCTTTGCGTGACTGCGCTTGTCCTTAGGATATGTCTAACCTATATGCGAAACAACTATATAAACGTTATTTAAAGCACACAACCAAAACTAGCTAATAACTTCTTATACAATGCTCAAATAGGGTGTTTGAATATACCAACATGATCTACTCAACCTCGTGAACATCCCTATATTTTTAAAATAATTTTTGGATGTCCCACGCGCTGGCCAAGGCAGGGCTAGACTCGCCACCACATGCGGCCAAACCCTAACTGAGTGTTGACCCTAAAAACTACTAAGCCTACGTGGTACGCAGGTCAAGTAATTAATAAGTTAACTATGTCATTTGGTTGCTTGTAGGGCGTGCCAACTCGTCAGCCGAGGAGTAAAATGTATTGTTGTTGCGTTGAGCGCACGACTGACTTCTTGATCTTGTGACTGCGATCGAGGAAGGAACATTCTCGACCTTAGGGTTCTAGAGCCTGAAGACAAGGCTGCTAGTTCTACGAAGTTCACAAATCGTCGGCGCCGAATTCGATCACGATGATTATGTTCATAAGAGTATAAGCACGTCGAATCGACACCAGAGTATAGGGACACAAATACTTAAAACAAATGTACGTCTTGATTGTGAAAGTGGTTCGGCCGTCAGAATGCCGAACTCTAAAACCTACTTGCAAATACCCAATCATAAACAACTCGGCGTTCGATGTGCCGAGCTTTAGTAACACATCACTTCGCAGATAAGGCTGATGAGATGACATCTGCCAATAAGGATCCAAAAATCCTTCTTGACCGAGACTTAGATAGATAACCAGTCGACCCTGTTACAGTGCTGTTTATCCAAACTGAAGGTGCTTCAAGGTCGGCTAATTCTACGGCAACAGTGCTGTTTATCCAAACTGAAGATGTTCGCCGGTTGCCTCCACAGTGCTGTTTATCCAAACTGAAGGTATGTCGGCGGAAAAAGAAAGTAAACATCTCAAGGTTGTTGAGAGGTTTTGCATAGAGCGAGAGTTTACACATAGCAGTTTGTGTGTTAGTTAGAGGTGTCCATTTTCCGTTGCCACTACCTCTGAATTTATAGTATATGTCCTTCACTCGGCATGGTATAGACTTGTAGAATTTGATTTCAATTCAAACTCATCAGCCAATACTTTAGTCAAAGACTTCTCAAGATAGGCGAGAGCCTATCCTTTAGCCGTCATCATCATCTGACTATACTTAACCATTATTAAAAAAACACATTTGTTTTTTCTTCCTTATCCTTTGCATGCCTCAAAAGAAACCGTGCCCTTAGACTATCTCCTAGTTTAGTTAGGAAACCATGCCCTCACATCAATGTTTTCCTTCTGTATTTCCACCATGTTGATCCAGGTGGCGCTTATGCATGTAAAGTTTCATGGGATAAAATCCCAACAAGCACATTCACGTGGCCACATCCAAAAGCATATACCATTTGGCACCATATTTATCTGCTGCCGCATATCCCAATATTCCATATGTTCAAATCCATTGGGATATAGACAAATATCAGATTTAAACAATTTAATATATTATTAAGAGATAATATCATGATTAAAATCACAACGTTATTTCTCAATAATAATTGAAAACCATTTCAACTACCTTGTCATTCGACGGACGTCGATTACTCGGGCCGATAGTGTAAAATCGGGTCTAAACACTGAGCCTAACGGTCGTTAAGAATAGTCCGTTAAAACCTTAATAAAAGTTAACAGCGTTACCTGACGCCGTTAGAATATTCCATCAGACTTGACAGAATATTCTTCTTTGTCTTCCTTGGTTCGCTGGAGACCGTCATCGGCGCCGCTGCGATCGCTGGTTTCTGGAAAATATTCAAACCTTCATTTCTCACTCATTTTTGCACCAAAATCCATGAAATTTGTCTTAAAATGAAGCTTAGAGTGAGTAGAACACATTCTTACCACTTTCAAGCCTTGAAATCCACGGGATCTCGCAGGAGAAACCTCGATAATCTGGCCAAAATTTGAAACTTGTCAAACTAAGCTTGCCGACGTCCAAAACACTCAAACTTTCTTCCCCGAGCTTCGTGAAGATGTTGTAAAGCTTCTTAGGACCTCAAAACTCCTTGAAAAGTCCACAATTACGATCACATGAATAGTGCTCAAAATCGGGGTTCTTGGTTTCTCAGGAAAATGAAGGCTTCACATCCAATGAAAGGTATGGATGGGTACCTAAGCTCACAAGGAACACGAAAGCAGGCTCCTCGACGTCGATTCGTGAAGAAATGGTTTGGTTTGATGTTTGTCCGTATAGTTGTACGGACTTTCAGAAAAATCCGAGAGCAGGATAGGGAGAAGGGTCAATGGGGTTGTTTGGGTGTGTGTGTGTGTGGTCCTAGTTTGGGCTACCAACCAAAACAAACAAAAGCTTAAGTCCTAAATAGGTCCAAACACTTAGGAAAGATTTTAATTGGTCTGAATCCTTAGCCCAATAACATAGACCACCACCAACACGCTCAAGGGCAATTTAGTCATTTCACGTCATCGATAAAAAAATTAATTTGGGATGGACTGTGACACTAACGACTGTCAAAAATTAAAAAACAAAATCACGATTTTTATAATTTGGTTAAATTTTGAACCAATCTATCTATAAAACAAAGTTTAAAATCATTTCATGATCATTGACTCTAATTTCATTTTCTCTAAAAAGATATTACTTCAAATTTATCGAACAATCATTAGATTAAAAAAAAAATTGTTGAAAGGAAAAAAGAAAACAAAGAAAAAAGTAAAATATACGATTAAAATGGCAACCAAAAAGCATGTAACTTTTTGTTTTTTTTTCTTTGGATGAAACCAAATGCATGTAGGTACTTGTATTAAATCTATATACATGCATGTATTCCTGGTGTGAACGTGAAGGTAATGGATACCTGACAAGTGCAGTGCAGCCAGCAAAATGGTCCCGAGACAGGAAATGGGTTTCCATTACAACATGAACATGGTAGCTAACCAAATGGACCAAAGTTTTAAAAACATTATTTATCTGTGAGATTCATCATTCATAGCAGACAATATAAAATGGGGAATTATAATTACATACTAATACTCATGTATCTTTCCTTTAATTTTGGAGTCCTGTCAAATTTTAACAGCAGTGGTATATAGAAATTTCTTATAGTGATTCAGTGTATAAGATATTTTGAATTTTTTAACAATTAATTTTTTGTTCAAAAGTAAAAGGTTTAATATCTAACCGTTAAAAAGTATATTTTCACTCTTCAAAAATTCTATAGTGAATATTTTGAAATTTTAACTGTTAATTTTTTTTTCTTGTTTTAAACTAGATATCTAATAAAAAGCTCGGAGTGTATGATATTAGGAGCGTCATAGAAAATCCCTTCATTCTCCTCAAAATTGTTAGGTAAATTTTTTTTTTGGATGAAGAAAGTTAGGTAAGTAGAAACTTATGCATTTCAATATAAATATAGTGTAATGTTTCAACTAAATTATACGAGGTTGTTTCTATAATGTGACAAGTATTGAGAGGCAGTTTAAAATCACAAAACACAAGTAAAATATTAAGTCACTCAGAAATGCTAAGTAATAAAAACAGTTAAATGTAAGTGTTTTTCATATAAATTAACTAAACGAACAAGAGAAAACTATAAAAATTCCTAGCTAGTTGATCATTTGTTTATTTGTTACTGTGAAAATTGATACCAAAAACAAAAAAGGGGTGGTCTTCTAGGAAACACTTTCAAGTCACGCTTTTCTTAGTATGCTCACTTTTTGTTGATGGGTTTTGTTTGGTTGCCTAGAAAATGGAGTGAAAAGTCTCTTCGGCAAGCCTAGGCTTATATTGATATTAGCTAGGGTTTACATGCATTGTTTTGTATTCTACTTGAGAGAAAAGTGTTGACGATGTGAAAAATATAAATGGCAGTTTTCAAGAGAATCGACTTCAGATAAGAGCACACTCTCTCTTCTGAAACTCGTCAAATTTGCAGAACATCAGCAGCACTACAGCAAGTGAAAGTTTGTAATTTATCTTCAACATTAACTTCTTTTTTCTTTGTTTGCCGGAATCGTGTCGGGATACAAAAAGATTGAATGCTCTTACCCAACTGCTTACGCATGTCGTTTGCTTTCTTTCTGTGAGCTTTTGGTGCTCTCTGTGAAATGGCTAGGACTAAATTAGTCAGTTCCTCATTGTGTTTTGCTGTCCTAATTTCTTGCCTAGGTCTCATTTTCTTGGTGAACTTTGACTTGTTCTTCGCTTTCCTTGTTACAATTTCTATCCTCTCAACTATTTTGCTCCTCGCCAACACAAATAAAAAGCTGGTTATTTTGGACGAGAAACCAGTCGGAACTGGGAATCTCCCCGGAGGCCAAGAAAACCTGCCGGATGCGGAGCAAGTTAGAGAGCAGCTGCTAGTTCGTAAAGATGTCAAGATTTCAAAGTCGGACCAGCAACTCACTACTAGTTCTTCCAACGTCGACATGGAATTGTTGTATTCTCTAGCACAAGAAGCGGAAAGTGAAAAAGACGTTGTAAAAGGGCTTCATCAACTGGTAGAGACTCTCACAGAAACTGCCCAACAAAGTGACCAAGTTGAAATTTTGGATTCACCATCAGAAATAAGTGATAATTTGGATGAAAAGTTTGAAGTTTCTGATGATTGTTCAGTCTCTGATGATGAAGAAGAAGATAGCCTCATTGAGATTCCGCTGCAGTCAAATTTGCAACAAGGTGTGAAAGAGGTGTTGGGAGATATGAGTGAGATGAATGAAGAAGAAAATCTGATTGAGATTGACATTTCAATGGGCTCCATCAAGTTTCCAAGGTTTCAGAGAGAGATTATTCAAGCATGATGTATCGTATCATATCACTTGTAAATTATTTTTATTCTACAGGTCAATTTAATTCATGTTTCAAGTTTTGATCGATGCTAATTTTCTGTTTTTAGAAAGCTGATTAGGTATTTAGCAAGTAGAACCAGACTACTAACTTTTATACAACATACACTTAATTATGAATTAAGGAATTGGGTCACACACATACGGATGGATATATATATATTTAATTCAGTTAACTCAGATCCGAGAATATGTCGAAAATATCCAATAGACAAAAACAAAAACCAACTTCTATTCCCAAAAACGTGAGAAAATTGTTCAAAAATTAAATTAGAAGGGTAAAATTTCGGCCAATTTAGGCCCCATGTCTAACAATTATAAGCTTCCCTAGGTGCTGATGCCTCTTGGAATTTAGAAATCTTCAATTTGGTATACTTAGGATCACCTTCTTGAGCAAAGTTTGACTTTTGATGCTTTTATGACATGAATGATTTCCGCAACAACTATAGGAAATGCAAAGCAAAGTGGAACCAATGGTCAATTGTATTATGGTGGAAGTACGTCTCAAGGTCTACAGGATCTTGATTTGTGTGGACTTTGTCCTAATTCTTGAAGCTGAAGGCCTTGAGAGCTAGAGAATTATGCTTCAAGGATGATTGCCACCCTAAAGTGGGCCTCTATTATGTCTCCCCTGAGGCGCATGTTAGGGGTTGGAATCCTTGCTGCGTCCCCCACACCTTTTATGGTGGTTTGGGCCTCAAATGCATTCTAATTGGCTTCAGGCAATGGAATGACATTCGAGCTAGTAGGGCAAACTTGATGGTGTTTCATTAAAATTTGATTGTTCTATCAACAAGATAGAATCAAATCCGAGAACTTAGTGAAGTTCTAAGCCTTTAGTGTTCTGGATGACAATATTCGAGATATCTTCTGTACGACACTCAAATTTTACTTGAAGGATTAAGAAAATAAGAAACTAACACATTAAGCAAGTCTTGTAATCAAACACATGGTATTTTGGATAAGTTTAGAGAAATCTTTAAATGTGGTAAACACGAGAGAGAGGAGGGGGGACTAGAGAAGGGAGTTTGGTTGACCTGAAAATGGGAGGGGGGAGGGGGAAGATGTGATTTTTTGTGTTTTTGCCGTGTTGTTGAAGTGAATTTCTCGACAAAAACACTAATATGTGATAGTACTAAACCACGTTTTATAATAAAAGTTACGACATGGTCAATGTTTCATGGACTTGTGATGCAATTCAATAACTCGATATACACCACATGACGAAACCATCATGCTAAAATCTTACTAAAGTTTAATACGGTGCACCAAACGAGGCCTTTAAACCGAACCCAAGTGACCTGGCCCAACAGCAACCGATATGTCCAATCCATTATTATGGAGGGAAGGCACTCGAGATGGAGCTCACAGCCACGGCCCCGCGATCTGCTAAGAAAAATCAGAGGTCAGATTTCCCAATTTTATCAAAATTTCGAATTTGAAATTCAATTTGTTCGAGTAGACACTAATTTCTCATTTTCCATTTCCTATTTTTTGTGAATTTATTTGGGTGCCCAGAATTTGCTCTAGCTATGATTGAAGATCTCAGCAATGGACGGTCTCCGGAGATTTTCATCGATCGCTTCAGAAATTACTGCACGAATCCCGATTCAAATTGGTTAGATCCTAAGCTTTCTTTCTCGATTTTAGTTGATTGTTCAGATTTTCCTCTATATTCTCAGCAACCAAACAAGCGCCACAGAATTCTTACGTTTATGATTCACTACTTGTTAATGCATTATTACTACGTTTTAAATTTTAGTTATCGAAATTGTTATGCTCTGAGCAGCTATTGTAGTTTTGATTCACCGAAAGGGCAGGAGATTCTCACGCTTCGAAGAACAAGCCATGTGCGTAGATTAGGTAGGATTGTTGTGCTTGCCATGGAACATGATTTTTTTGGCTTCGAAATGCATTTCGTTATTTGTCTTTATTAATGTGCAAACACTTATCAGAGGCATAGCACGCCGTAGAGCCGTGCATGTATTTTTGTCAGACTATCAATGTCAATGTATATGTGATCATGACTGAGTCTTACAATATAACAGACAATAGAACGTTATCGGAAATGTTTAAGAGATTTTGTGAAGTGCATTTGTTATTGATGATTAACTGGTTCGCGTAATCTGTTTCATATGTTTTTCTCAGGGTTTTGTTGATTATTCAGCAACTTCTGCAAGAAAACAGACATGGATCTAAGGCCTGATTTGGTACTGAGGTGATTTTGAAAAAAGTGGGTATAAAAATAAGCTGGGTTGTGTTTGGTAAACATTCAGCTTCGGCTTTTTTTCACAGTTTTGGGTAAAAAAAAAAAAAGCCAAAAACACAAAGCTGCAAAACCCAGTTTTGAAAAACCGGTTTTTTTTCACATCTGTTTTACATAAAAGTTTACCAAGCACTATAATATTGCTTTTTTTTTTTTTAAAAATCACTTTTACAAAAAAGTTTACCAAACACGCAGCTGCTTTATTTCACAGTTGCTTATTCTCACAGCACAGCAGAAACAGTTTTTTTTAAAGCACAACAATACCAAACCAGCCCTAAGAGGGATATCTATTACATGCATCCTTCTATATTTTCAGGTGATCTGAGTTATCTTTCATTTCCAGTGTCAAAGCATAATCCATACTATATGATATAGTTCGTTAAGGGACCTTGAACTTGGATTATGATAAATTGTATTCTTTGTAAATTTAGTAAACCTTGACAAATGCAATATATTTTGGGCCTTATATTTTTCATATCATCATGGAGAACACAGGATTTCTGTTTAGACATGATCTTTAATAATTTGAAGTTCTTGATGTGGTATGTTCGCGGTCTCTCCATGTAAGTAGTAATATTTTCTGCTTAAATTACAATGCGGATCAGTCAGTCGTAGACCGTGCAATCAATGACATATGCATCCTTCTGCATTGTAGTCGCCACAATTTGAATGTCGTGGGTACTCCGATTTTTTCCATTGCTATTTTATTTATATTATTGTACTCGAGCCTGTTATGTACGATTAGTATAATAGCATTTTGATAAGCCTGCTCATAATTTTGTGGTATTTATTTCATGTTCCTCCTTTTGACAGGTGTCTGTAGGAAAGGGGTACGTATGAAAAATTTCGCTTGATTTTCAAAGAAAAGAAGATAATGGTGTACTTTCCTGTTTGATTTTGTATGAAAATGACTAATGCCAATACTTACACCTTTAAATGCGCGCATTCCTGGTTTTATTGAATACTTTGTTAATCTTGAGTTGATCGACTTCCTCCCCTGTGGTAGCATTAGATTTTCGTGGCATTGATAACAATGATAACAATTCACATATTGTCAAACCAGAATGTTAAATGACATGCTTTATAGGTTGGTAATGGGCTGGTTAAGGTTCTTAGAAGCTGGAAATGTATTTGATTGCATAAATAGGCCCAACACAGTAAGAATGGATCTAATTTGATTTTTTTAAATGATTTGATGATATCTTCTTCATTGTCGCCTTACTGTGTCTGAACTTAAAACTTTGCATCTGGTTCACATACAGGCCTTCCCTGTCCCTATTCATGTTGAAGAGGTTAAAGGTATCCAGATGATTAAGAGAGAATAATTAAATTTCCGTGTTTAGAAACAATGTTATTCAATTTTGATAATCTAAATGTTATAAACGCATTGCTAATCCTTATAGACCAACCCTAAGTGTCCAAAGAAAGAAAACTCAAACCTTTAATTCTAACATGCAGATATTGTCAGTGTAGCTCGGTACATACTTGTTGTGGAGAAAGAATCAGGTATACCATTTTTTTTTTTTTTTTTGTAACTCTGACGCTTTAGCATGATAGAGCTTGATTTTGATACGTGCTTCCATCAACAAACCATCATTTGTTTATATATTTGTACAATTTTTCAATGATTGGCAAATGACCAGTTTTGCAACAAAAACCATTGCATCGTTACCACCGTAAGCATACACCTTTTGCTTTGTCCATATTAACTCTCTTGGATCCTTGCAACAGCTTTTATTATTTTTATGGGTGTTTTTCTTCACAGGGGCGTGGCTATCCTGATATTCCCACAAGAAGGTAAAGAGTCCCCATCAAACTTAAAATGGGAGTAGGTAGTGCCTTGCCTTATATGCTGTTTGCACGTTCGTTTCCTTTTTGTCTATTTAGTTCTTATAATTTTCCGTTATATTTGCTAGGTTTTTGGGGCTCCTTGTTGATACTCTGCATCTCCCTATCTATTGCTTGGTAGATTGTGATCCGTACGGTTTTGACATCCTCTCGATGTATCGGTTTGGTTCTATGGTTAGGCTTGCTGATTAATCCGTTAAATTGTTATCTACTTTTTGCCAAGTTGACTAGCATGTGAACTACCTAGGAAAACTGCACATATTGAAGATTAAGAAGTGCTGAAGAAGTCAATTGTTTTGTAGACTGCTCCTACATTGTAACGAAGCTCAAGTTTATATCAATTTAACGCACTCCCATTGTTATGTAAGCAAATGGTCTATGATGCAAAATTTCTACGCGTCCCCGAGGTACTCTGGCTTGGAGCCTTCCCTTCGGACTCAGACAAGTACGGTCTTCCACAACAGTGTCTCCTTCATTTGACGGTAGAAGGTGAGAGATATGGTGCTTTACATTGGCATTTCTTTGTTTGTAACCTTCCTGAGGTTCTTCATGCCAGACAAGAGGAAAACGGAGGCCATGCTACTTCGATGCTACTTACAGAATGAAGCGCCGCCAGTGGAGGTAAGACTCTGTAGGTTTCTTATCTCATTCTTCATATGACTGGATTGATTAAATTACATTTCATAGTTTTACTCTTTCTAATGACAGATTGGAGCTACAGTTGATGCTGGAAAGAGGAGTGAAGTTTGAGTTAGAAGCGTTGTCTGTGCACGAACTTAACTATTTGTCGGAGGTGTACATACCATCTAAACTTCAAGGTGGAGTCCACATCTAACACCATCTAAATCTGTATTACTTAGATTGTAGGATAAACGAAATTATCGGATTTCTGCAAAGCATAATCAACATTTGCATTTGCAAACCATTGTTAAGTGGACAAACAATGATCTGAAAACACAAAACTGGAATGCCACAATAATTAGTGATGTAATTCCTTTGTGATTATGGTGCGCTATCGTTTTTACCTTTTTACTTGCATCCGAAGTCTCTGTTTCTCGGTGGGCTAAAATCGTGCTTCGCTTTTGAACGCGATCCTGCACAAACAGAATTCTGACAGATTGCAAGGCACTGAGTTTAATTTGGTGAAATGTGATGACCCTGGTGAATACCATTGGATTACTCAATCATCCTAATATGGATCAGGCCTTGTGATTCTATAATATCGCTTGAAAAAAAAGAAGTAAAAAGACTCTTTTGCTTATATATTTCCAAGTTCCGGGCACACTGTTGACGTGGAGTTCCACCAACTATGACATGACACGTGTGTGTTTTTAACATCATGACTTGATGGCTTTTATTAATATAACACCAACCTTCTCCCTTCACTCTCCCTTCACCGTCTCTATCCATACCGACAACGAAGCAATTTCCGACCAAAACATCACCACCACCTTCATCTAAGGTTCTAAAAGACATTAGGCGCTAGTCAGTGGCAGGTTGGGACCTAGCATCTAGACGGATTTAAGTAAGTATATTATATATCGTATAAATAATTGTCTAATTATACTTAATAATTTCATTGGGATATAAAAGAATCCGATTATATATCTTTTATATTATATATAGAATGAATAAGTGTCTATCTAAGTAAGAGACGTGACCTAGGCGAGTGTCTAGGTGGGTCTGGACGGGCTAGGCGACGCCCTAAGCTAGTCTAGGTGTCATTTCTAAGTTTTCAAACGCCTAGATATTAATCGGGCCGGTGGCTAGCCTAGGCGGGGATTTTAGAACAGTGGCCACCACCAAGATCAAAGTTAAGTGAAAGAACACGTGACAGATGATTAGGTGTACGGTAAACATATACTTAGTATATGGTGGTGAGCAAAAATGCTCTCTTCTTTAAATGGTGGGTCTGTGTTAAAATTGTACATGTGTCAAGTCATGGTTGATGGAACTCCAAGTCAACTAATGAGCCTGGAACCTAAAAGCTTTTCTCCAAATGTACAGGTGTCATGTTATGGTTGGTGGAACCCCATATCAGCTAATGAGCCTTGGAAAAATTTCTTTTAACCAACTAAGAAGATATCAAATTAACTGTTGGTATCTTGTCGATATTAATTTCTTCTTAATCAATTTGAATTTGATCTATTTTTTTCTTTTTGAATGTACTATGACGACTGAATGTCCACATTCACACTTATATCTCTCAATCCGAATTAAGAAGTAAATTCGAATATTAAAAATTACGTGACTTGTATTAGGCAATTCATCCAATAATAAAACGTGGTTTTATTACCTCTTCTGCAAGGTTTTACAGAGTGAAATTGTTGAAACACTAATATTCCTGCTCGAATCAAACTTATATGGAAATATCCGAGACCAGAGATTTTAGGAATTGATCCAGAATGTAACAGCCAAAATACAACTATAAAACATGGAAATTCATGAGTAATTATCTTTTTAAAAATAATATATAAACGACATAAAAATAGGTCAGACTATGAATCGGTTCAGACAACAGTAAGCTGTGCAAGAAAACACCATTCGGAAGAGCTACCAAGAAATTCTATCAGAAGCTCTGATGGATTCTTCTGTTGCACAAATGGTAAGATTATAACACTTTTAATATTTCTGTCTTTGTATTTTTTGTTAACGAGGCAATATTTTGAATTACTCTAATTTATGAAAGGAAGGTTTGAACTGGGTGCTGGCAGTGGGCACAGTGTTGTTGGACAACTGACTTAACTCGCATATGTTATCTTCGTTTGTTTTTAATTGTAATTTATTTTATTTTATTTTATCTTATCTTAATTTGATATGAATTCGTTCTTTTGCAGAGTTGTGTTCTGAAAGTAAGCATCAATTGTGAAGCATGCAGGAAAAAGATCTATGAAGTCTTGCAGAATATTTATGGTATATATTTTTCATTTTCCCCCTCCTTGATTTACCCTTTTATTTTTCACTAATATGAATTTATTTATTTTATTTTGCTTATGTGAAACTTAGGTGTGTATAAAATTAACATAGATGCAGAGGGAGGAACGGTAAAAGTTTCAGGGAAAGTAAATCCAAGTACACTTCTAATGGTGTTGGAAGGGTCAGGGAAACATGCAGAAGTAAAAAGTGTTACGTTCGACGGTGAGGTCAAGAACGATTGGGGTGGGGGATACGATTATTTTGGAGAGGCTGGATATGGTTATGGTTATAACCCTTATGGAGTGGCGCCACCGCCATTTTATCCCTATCCGCCGTATGGAGGGTATGACTACCACTGGTATGATCCCGGTCGTCTCAAAATGATGCCATTGCCAGCGCTGCCCCCACCACCATTGGCGTTACCTTCGTCATCGCCACCGGTACCACAGCAGTCTCAACCACCACTGCCACTACAATTACAATCACAATCAGTGCCACCACAACCACCAAAAACACCGGCACCACCAAATCAGGCGCCACGACCACCGCCACCGGCAGCCAATGCTGCACAGACAATAGCGAAACCAGCGGCCAAATCGGATAAGAAATCTAAGTGTTGTATCATGTAAGGTGCTGAAATAGGTCTAGGATAGCTAGACGGCTTATTGTTCATTCATCATACAAGGATTTCCCTGATAATTATACCATGTAAATTCGGAACTCATTTTTTTTCTCTCCCCTTGACATTTCATGTCGAAAGAATTTTGGTCTAAATGTTTAAGAAATTACATGTGTGTTGTGGCCTATATATAATGAGAGAAAGAGAAGAGGCACGATATGTAGAGAAAGAAAGATGCAAAATAGGCTTGAAGAAATGTGTGTTATTCTCCATACCTCATGCTTTTATTTATAGTAATAATGAGGAGGGAAAACTTGTTTTCCAAGTCATAAAAAGTTTAATAGGAAAGATCTTTTCGATCCCGAAGAATTCCTAACTTATTTCTACTTAGGATTTACACAATCACATATGTATGAGAATGTATATCACAACACTCCCCCTTGAGTGTATAAATACTCAAGTAGATGACCCATTAGATCTTTCGGCAAATGTAGAACCAGTTGATCAAGTCACCTCGTCTAGTCGGCACAAGTGACAAATGCGAGTCTCAAAACAAACAGAAGGATGCATAGGTAGTCTACTCACAAAACATCGCTATGGTATAATGTATGATGTAGGATGTATGAGAATAAGACTAAATCATGTAGCAGTGTTGTACATAGATGATCATACTTGGTTAATCCACATTGGGGACCATACATATTTTAGGGGTGACTCTACTTGGTTAATCCGCATTGGGGTTCACTACCTACTTGGTTACACTGTTCTCAGGATCCCCGAGTCATTACTGGTACATTACTTATTTGTGGTAATCCGGCTAGAGTTCTGATTGATTCGGGTGCTACATTTTCATTTGTATCTCCATCATTTGCACAAATTATAAATTCGCAACCTACACCGCTTGGTTTTGATATGCTAGTACAAGTGGCACATGGAGATCTCTTCTATGCGCAGTGGGAATATAGGAATTGCCCAGTGGTAGTTGAAGGGGAACTCATGGAGCCTAATTTAATTCCCTTCAAACTAGCGAAGTTCGATGTTATCTTCGGAATGGATTGGTTATCTAGGCACCATGCTTATGTCGGTTGTAGGGAGAAGTTTGTGACGTTCAATCAGCCTGGACGACCGTTAGTCATATTTCAGGGTGAGCGACGAATCCTTCCTAATAGTATTATTTATGCTATCCAGGCGACTAAGTTGTTGCATAAGGGATGTGTGGGATTCTTAGCCCACGTAGTGATGAGGGATGAACCTTCTTTGCGTCCTGAAGATGTGCCAGTGGTGAAAAACCTCACCGATGTATTTCCTGAGGATTTGTCAGCGTTGCCACCAGCGACGGAGATCGAATTCACCATCGATTTGCTTTCAAGAACAAACCCTATTTTCTTAGCACCGTATCGAATGACACCAGCATCGTTGAGAGAATTGAAGATACAACTGACATCATCTAAATCTAACCCAACACCTTTTAAGGTCCAAACCCTAAGCCTGAAACGAATCTAACCCTTTGACCTAAATGGAATATTTCGTTAGGGAATATTCCATCCTCAGGGAATGTTATGTCCGTCAGGGAATATTTCGTCAGGGAATATTCCTGAAATATTCTTTTTGTTGACTTTTTGTTGACTTTTCGATATTTACCTGGGACACTTCTTATAGTAATTCGACGTCCTGAATCCGTTTTTAACATCCATTTTTCCAAATTCAATCGTTTGAATATGATTTTATTAATTGGACCCTTTATGTGCTTATGTGCATTTATTGTGGCGTTTCCGTCTTCGTTAGTTTACGTGGCTCTACGATGACAGAGTACCTGTGACTGGACCCCTTCTAAAATGCATGTTTTAACAGTAGAAATGCATACATGAAAATCATGATTTAATGATTACGTTTTATGAGATATTATGCTTACTTAGAATATTTTGGAATACCATATTTTCTATCGAATCCATGTTCTTTGTAGGATATCTGATGGATGACAATATACTATTTAGAACATGTTTTCACACACTTCTTTATAGTATAGATGATGGATGTCTTTATACTATGAAGATGATTTTGAGATATATGTACCTATGTTTGGAAAGACTATATTCAATGTTTTTGTGTGTATCTAGTGATCACTATTCTGCCTTCGGGTCGATTGAAGATTATTATATTGGCCTTCGGGTCGGGAGATATTATATTGGCCTTCGGGTCGGGTGATGTAGGGGCCTTCGGGTTGATTGAAGATTCATAGGTGATGTAGGGGCCTACGGGTCGATTATGATACCACTAGTTAGCACATTATAAATGAGATTCGTTTTATGAAAGGTTTTATGGTATGCTAGGGTTTTCGGAAAACCTATTACATATTATACTATTGAATTTCCATAAAACTTTGGGGGTTAGTATGCTGATAACTATTTTTATTATATATATATATATATATATATATATATATATCAACTTGGTCCACTTATGTTGTTTTGCGCCCCTTCATGACTTAGAATCAAGGCGTATAATCCTGGCGTCAAGGTACTTCCGCATTGGCATCTTTGAGTTCTCTCGGTGTAGGACCCATTCTTTTATTCATTCAATTTTATATTATTTCTTTTAGTATTTCTAGTTAGTTGTATGCTCTGAACACGTTCTTCATTCATATATTAATTATATTGAAATTGATAAGTCTTATTTATTCTTGTTCTCATGCATTCTAAATGGCTTGTGTCACCTTCGGGTGTTGGCCAGCACGTACCTATCATGGTGTTCGGAGAATATCGGGGTTGGGGCATGTCAAATTGTACTTGATATATCCGTGATAGGTGATCACTACCTAATGTTATATGAATTGGTCATGCTTAATTAATCCACATTGGCAGATTATACACATTATCATGGTGATTCTGTTGAGTTGGTCTGTAATCCTATATCTGATGGATTTCGTTGAGTTGGTCTAGAATCCAACTTCCTCTATGGTTCCATTGAGTTGGTCCGGAACCCTATATCTGAGGGAATCCATTTAGTTGGTCTGGAATCATACTTCGTGCATGGTTCAGTTGAGTGGTATGGAACCCCATATTCTTGGGATTCCATTGAGTTGGCTTGGAATCCTAGTTGTTAGATGGTTAGTTAAGTAGTCTGGAATCTAATGAGTCGTGCTTGTTGAGTTTCATTAAGTGGTTATAGAACTCTACGTTTTCCTGCTAGATAATTCCATGAGAAATTGTGGAAGTCATTGCAAATACAAGTTTTTTTAGCTTAACGAAATTGTAAACTATGATTGGCTTGATCCTTCCCAGGATACATAGGCAGTGTAACCCTAAAGTTAGGTGCAACCATAAAATAAGATGAAAATCTACTATATTGTTGAATTAATGATTATTTTCGGTACTTCACTTTGTGGGACTATTTGTTTATAGGTGCTTTATGTGTGTATTTTACTGAAGTATTGAATTTAGCTTAATTTTATGTGGTCATTTCGATACGGCATGTGTTGATTCTAGACGCATCTTGGAATCTGGGCATGACAAAAACAAGTATTATTCAGAATAAACAATAAAAAAAAAGGAAAACTAATGAAAATGACTTGAAAACTTTGAGTTTTCACGAAAATGACAAAATAAAGAATAAAGTGAATAGTAACATGATTGACTTTTTAGTGTAAAAATGTGGTTTTTCGTTAAAATGAACAGTACCATAAGCTTTTCGTTAAAATTTCCTAAAAACAACTTACATGCCCATGTCCTAGCCCTCCTAAAATGGGTCGAACTACTTTTAGAAAAATATGAAGCAATCTCAGATAGAAATTGGAATTGGAATTCACTTATTCCTGTATATTCTTTCGTTATCCCCACCCACCAAGGGGTCTCTTCATTGAATGGCAAATGGAACTTGACAATCCAAGTAGTCAAATCCATTGGAAATTAACTTCACTTTGAAGGAAGGAGGAGAGGACCAATCATCATATATGGACAAACTACATGCTCTGTGATGTAAATATTCCCAGATAAGGGGTGAAAATGAAAGCTCCAGGTTTCCATCCACACAAATGTAAAGACTTCATCCACCTATGTACCAATACCATTCGACAGTGTGAGACAAATTCAATCCCTTTTAAAAATCAAAACAAAATTTGTGTCTTTTGACACGTGAGAAAGTTTAAGGAAAAATTATAGTTAGCCGTTCCGTTCTCTTAATTTTTAGACTAAATATTTGTAGCTTTCTATTTCTTATTAAGCATTATATTTTCGATTTTAAGTGCTTTAACTTATGTCCACATTAGTTATTTATCTCTAATCATATAAAGTGTTAGAGTATTTTCAAAGGAGATATCAAAAATTTCACATAAGTAATTATGGTAAAAAAAGAAAGCACGCATGTTTCCAATCGAAATGTCAATTTGTATGTGCCATGACATGGAATGGTAGCAGAGGAAGTTGATGTCAAATTTGATAGATAGCAGCTTCAAATCTATTTTAGTGGATAATAAATACTTTTTATAATTTTTGTTATTATCTTTTGTTTAAAAAAAAAATACTAATTACAATTATGAAAAGTAAATATTGCAATTAATAATAGTTTAAATTTGACATATTGGGTGGAGAACAAAATTTACAAAAATATTAACGTGCCACATAAGCCTTCAAATTTAAATTTTGTGTTTAAAATTTAACATCTCCTTTAGGGATGGTCTTAGCATTTTATTTTTTTCTCATTTGATTTTGACACACCCCGACCTAGATTGAGGCATGCTGGCCGTCACGTGAGGGTGACGTAGCCATATGCACTGTACGGAAGCAATGAAGATATAAGGAAATGCGAATAAATAAAAACCAACTAACTAGAGCACTAGATAAGGTAAGGTGCAAGTGCGACATTAAGAGTGAGATCATAATCAGAGCATAAGTAGCCTAAGTGTAGTCTAGCAGGACAAATACTAATTATACAACACCAAAGATAATCCTACATTGGTAATAATCTGTTAGAGTTGCCGTGAATTCCTCGTAAGCCACCGATAAGCACTCATAACTAGAACCTGGAGGGGCGCAAAACAGAAAGTGTGAGTGGGCAAAAACAAAGCTTTTCAAAACCATTTCATTATCAAAAGTTCTAACCCCTCGTCGTAAAATCTGTATAGTTTCCCAGAAAATAGAATGCATATATATAGATATATATCTCAAAACCATGCTTAGAAAACGATATTCATAAGTATGCCATGCCAAATATCTCAAAATAACAGAATAAGTAACTCAAGTGAAATAACATATCAGCCAGATCCATCTAAAGTGGCCTGTACAGCTGAATCCATAGCTCAACAAGTATGATTGCACACGAATCAGAACCTCCTAAAGTGATTTGTACGACAAGACTGGGTGTAAATAAATAAATACGCTCTAGTGCTACGATCATGTGAAGACTGTGTGAATAATCGCGGGTCACCTACGAGTCGGAACCACCTATAGTGGTCTGTACGACAGGACTGTGCACCTAACTTGGATCCAAGGTGAGCGTATGGTGCGGGAGGTGAACATCACATGAAGGCCTGTGCCCTAACCATGGGCGGGAGCACTAACACCGGGATGCAGGTTTATAAATTCTCAATACATTTCACATCATCATCAAATCACACATAAGCAGTCTACAACTTACCTGGTACTTACCTGAGCGTCCACAGCGTCAAATCATATTTATGCATACTATACTAATTCATACTCTAAGTATAAATCAATATGCATGGCATTTCAAAACATAATTTCATTTAAATGCATTTTCTAGGAAAAATATCAAGTATATAAGTATATATTGAAAACCAAAAGCCCACTCATTGATATGTGGAAGGGTCATAACCCCCCGAGCCTTGCTTGACTACGCTCATCCTTAGGATAGGTCTCACCTATATGCGAAACAACTATATAAACATTATTTAAAGCACATACACAAAACTAGGAAATAACTTCTCATACATTGCTCAAATGGGGTATTTGAATATACCACCATGGCCTTAGGAACACCTCCATATTTTTAGAAAAATGTTCCGAGCACCCACGCACCCTCACGCGCCGGCCAAGGCACGGCCAGACGCGCGGTCCACGAGCAGGCACGTGCCTGGCACACCAAACGGATTTCCTAACTGCATTAGGGAATATTTTGTTAAAAATAAGTATATACCGTTATAATTACCTGATGGCGTTAGAATATTCCGTCAACTTTGACGGGAATATTCTCCTCCTTCTTCCTTGGTTCGCCTGAGTTTGGTGCCAGTGCCGCTGCTATCGCCGGAAACTGGAAAAATCTTTAAACTTCAATATCTTCTTCGATTCTCAACCAAAATTCATGAATTATATACCAAAATGAAGCTTGTGATGAGAGGAACAATTCCTTACCACTTTCAAGTCTTAAATCCACCATAAATTAGCCGGAAAAACCCACGATAATCCGGCCACCTCTACAACTCCGCGAACTGGGATTTCCCGACGTCCAAAATCCTTCAAAATTCTTCTAAAAGCTTCGTGAGGACTATCTAAGGCTTCCAAAGGCTCAAAACTTCAAGAAACACTCGCGATCACGTCGAGGTCACTGTGCACTTCCTCGGAGCTTCTTGGTTCTCGGGTTTTCGAGAGTTTCACGTCCAACCAAAACCACTACTCGACTCCTGAGCTTGAAAGGAGCACGAAAACAACTACCAAAACCTCGATATGCGATTAGAGAGCTAGGTTTGAGGTTGTCCGTACGGTTGTACGGAAATGGAAGAAAATCCGAGAAGGAAGGAGAGAGAGAGGGTCAACGGGATTGGTTGGTGTGTATGTGTGGTCCAGGTTTGGCCAACCAAGCCAAAAACAAATAAAATCTTAAGTTCCAATTGGGTCCAAATCTTTAGGAAAGGAAATAATTGGTCAAAATATTAAGCTCAACACACAACACAACTCAACGTCTAAGGGTAAATTAGTCAATTCACACCATTGATAAATTATATTTCGGGACAGATTGTCACAAATTTGGTTAGATTGTATATCTAAAATACACCTCATGATTATTAATTAATTTATTTAAGGAATGCTATTCAATATTTAAGGAATTCCGTTCAATCTAAATTATATGGGTAAGTTTTCAATAATTAATGGAGGTACGTTTGCTTGTATAGTTATTTGGTTATATTGTACATTTAGTTTTCTATAACGTGAGTGCGTTTAAGGTTTAGTAGTACACACTTTTTGGTTCCTTTTTTTTTTTCTAGCAGTTTATCTAAAATACATAGAAGGAATTCGAAAACAAGATCTCAAGTGCAAGAGAACAGTCTTAACCAACTGAGCATTATCTATTAAGATTTTTTCCTGACATGAATTAATTTCTTAGATTATAGGTTGGCACCACAATAATAGAAAGCATTTTAATTAAAATTCTAAAACACATAAATGTATCTAAAAAATAAATATTTGAGGCACCTAAATCTAAACCCTCAAAGTTTAAAATATCTAAAAATATGGGAAATGATGAGAAACCGGTGATCAGATGTGGAAAACTATGTTAGGGAGATTATATTCATGGACAAGGATTGTCTCCTTGCTCCCGTGCCCTCCTATGCCCTCCTGTTTGTGTGGTCACGGTTAAGCCACGTCAATATTTTATATTACTATTCATTTTTGTCTTATTATCTCTATAAAAAACAATATAAATGTTGACGTGGCTTAACCGTGACCACACAAAACAGGAGGATACGAGAACAAGGAGGGCAGACAATCCTTGTCCTATATTCATATACTCCAAATTACTTCCCCAACACTCTTTTAATTTTTTTAATATTTTCTATCAAGTGGTGTGAATATAATCTCTTTTTTATGTTATTGCTTTCATTGCTTGACGAGCAACGTAAGTTATTCCCTTTTTAATGGGTAAATACTCACATATCCTTTATTGTATTTCTATTTATCTTTCTCATCATATAAATGACTTTAATGAAATATTTCATATCCCTCTAAATAGGTTAATTTTTTTATATTAATAAAAAATTTCTCCCATTACCGAGGTTTCTTAAAGAAGAAGAAAAAAAAAACAAGAGAGAGATTCCATGTCGACATGTGTTAGTCTTCATTTTGTCCACATATAGTTCCTGCAAGATGATTACGGTTCTGAAATGGATCATTCAATTTTTGGGAAGCGAATCTTGTATTTTGATGATTTATTTTGTTTGGCTGCATGAGTCAATAGCACGTGTAAAGAATTATTCTGTCGATGGAAACTTCCATGTCTCTTGAGTATATTGGATTGCAACACAATTTCTTAATGGGATGGGTTACCCAACATTCCTAAATTCTATATGCTATATTCTTCCTTTTTCTTTTGGGCCACTTCCACTTCAGTACTGCCTTTATGTGCTATATTTACCTTTTCACTAATTTTTCATTTAAGGTGATTAAGTGGTAAATCCAATTATCTCAACATGTATAGAATTACCTTGAATTTTGTGGCGTAGCCTAGTAACCGCATCCATTAGAAAATCATTTGAAACCTAGCAAGTGTCTTTTAGGGATGGCACGAAGTCTCTACAGAGTCTTGTACTTCTCAATAATGACTAATTGATCCACAATAAGAACTCTATACGCTTGCGGTTATGTTCTTTGTAAAGTCCGCACTCTACTTCAAATTAATAGGCCTATTTTTCAAGAATGGAGAACCCCTATATAGTTGTTCTCCCCTTGGTGCTGGTTGTTAGGTTGGATTGTTGGTTGCTGTTGTTTTCAACCTTCCTGCATTTTTTGTTTTTAACTTGGCCTTTATTGCAGTTGTTGTGTTTGCTTCTGTTGGTTCTCTTTTAATATAATCATTGAATATACTTAAACTCCTTTGCGTACGAAAACCATTTTCTTTGTCAATTTGCACAAAATAGAAAGATTTTAGGTCAATGGGGCCAACAATACATGAATAGTCCGATACCGAAACCTAAAACACCACAGTACAAGACAAGTTTAGTTAATTGTCATTATATATATAATATATAATGTTTCTAAAAGCCGCAGGAGTCGCTTTAAGTAGAGTGCATGGACAACTCATATTTAATGACATGGAGCACCTAGATTATTGGGTTCAATATATGGAGATAACCTCATTTGATATAACGAAAGAAGTTAAGATTCCAATTAAAAGCTAATTGAAAATAGAGGGAGTGATTCCACCGTTTGTAAGCTTATGCAAGATTCTTTGATTATCCAATGTGAAGTTCATTCTCAATATAGGAGACCACCACCAATTTCATTACATAATTTAAGAGCATTCACCACTCCACTTGAGAATTTCTCTTTGTTTCCTCGTTCTCTCCATTTTAGTTTCTATTTTAAATAGAAGAACATATTCATTGCATCCAAAATTCATAATGTTACACAACGAAGTATGTAAACAATTCAGATTCATTACAAACGAAGCCAACTCCCAGACACATTAGGTAGAAGAGTAAGGAAAAAACAATTAAGGCTCTGCTAATAACACCTAAACTTACAACTAATTATGTAGCAAACTGGAATAATTTTCAGAAAACATAATGTAAAACATCATATCCTGCCCTGGAAACTATAATTACTACCACTTAAACCATAATTAGTTGTCTTTGTGCTTCAATCCTTAATTCTTCCTTCATTCTTCTAATGAAGTCTTCAAATTTCTTGTTCAATTCTTCAGTGCTATTACCAAACCTTCCTGTTCCGTCTTCATCTTCCTCGGCAAGTTTTCCATCTTCTTCTTCCTCTTCCTCTTCTTCTGAAACTAACAACATACTTTCTGGTTCTTGTTCTTTTTGTTCTTCATAATCTTCAATAACCTCCTTCTCTGCATGTTTTTCTACTTGGTTGATCAAAGGCTCACTTTCATGTTCTTCTTCTGCAGCAACATTTTCTAGTGAGTCCATACTTCCCGCTTTTGCATCTTCCTTTGGCGAAACTGGCTCTTCTGTCTCTAACATTGGCGAACCGAATTCCAAACCACCTTCTCTAGTCTTCAAGCTTGTTTCTTCATGGCTAGGATAAGATGACTGCGCCGGAGATCGGGTTAAGCCAGAGTGTTTTGCAAGGAAAACGAAGAGCAGGTTGCATATGAGGAATATGAAGTTCTTGTCAATGGTGTGGGTGAAAAGTTGGTAAGGGAATGTTGAGAAGTAGAAGTTGAAGGAATGGAGGAATGAGAGCATAGATGAGCGGGAAAAGCAGAATGAAAACACAGAAGCTGAAAGCAAAAACTTGGCAACTTTTTTCAGAAGCTGATTATCTATGGAGTTGTAGTAGTAGTTTGTCAAGGTTTGTTGGTTTTGATCGTCCATTTTTCTCTTTAGCTAGTTTTAATTGCTAAAGAGGTCTTTGGAAAATTGAGAGAGATAATGGGGTGGTGGAGATGAGTTTGAACTTTCAATTGTTGGAGTCGTCTTTCCAAAGGTGTACATATGCTATATGTGGAAGTTAAGGAATATGGAGAGTTATATATAGTAGTCTAGGCTTAAAGAAATTTTAGGTTGAGTGGGCGGTTTTTCAACACGTGATGTTGTTGATTCGAGCAATATTTTAATTAATGTAATATAAATTATTAGGAGGAGAAATTTAAATTTGGATATGGTGAAGAAAACATATTATTCTAATCAACTTAGCTATGTTCATGTCTGCTTTTAAGATCTTCCTAGTCAATGTGTATATGTAGCGGTGAATTCACATATTGAGGAGTCATAAATGAGATAACTTACATGGAACAAGTTCATCACTACCGTAGTGTTATGATACAATAATTCATTGTTATGTATAAGTTTAGAGACAAAACGTCGCGGTAAATTTGTTTCATATAAATTATTCTCTTTAAATGCTCATCCATTGCACAAGAACTATCTCTCTGAAAGATAAAAACTTGCATGCAACCGTTGGATAAAGCGGTTGTATCATATTCATATTCATGCACTCACATGATGATGTAGCAATTGTGAAACAATTTCATCTTATACAATGGGTGCATACTAATTTTTCTTCTATTTGGAGGGAGGAGGGATGTTGACATGTTATTTACTCGACTATGTGGAACTTTCTAGCTGTCAGCCCATTGAGGCATCAGGTAAGAGTAATCTTCACGTTCACCATTTGAGGTGCGACTGCTTTATAAAACTTGATTGAGATAGATGGCAACGACCTGAGAGTCGGGACCACGAAAGAAAATAGATATTGATCAAGTGTTGATCAAGTGTTCTATAACAAACCCATGATAGCACCATCGCTTAATTAATACGAGATTGACAGAAGTTAACCTAATTAACATCATTGTCATGCCATGTAGTAATACTTGTAAATTAAAGGTCTTAAGTTTGATTTTAGCGAAAGATAAATTCGAACTAAATTATTATGACTAGTCAATTGTGAGGTTTTATAGCCACTCCCCTACTCTTAATGTAAATAATATCGAATGTATTACAAATATATCATTGTCATAGGTAAAAAACAATGATAATTACAGACAAATTTTTCCTCTTATATATATTTTATTATATTTGATATCATCTTGAATAAATCAAATATATAAAAAAAAGAACAAGATTATAAAGAAGTGTTAAAAAGAAGAAAAAATGTGTTTAGTTATCATTTTAATTAGAAATATATATTTTTTTTCTTTCTTCCAATCAAAGATTCGAAATCTCTTCTAACATTGGAAAGAAAAATACAATTAAGCTAAGAGCTACTATCTTGAATTTATAATTGATAACATACAATTTGTACTGGTGCAAATAACATTATTCCTGTGACCCAGAGCAAAAGGTGATAGTTGGTGAAAAATATTGGTTTTTGCGGTTGTTGGAATGAACAGGTTATAGTTGTGGTTGGTTTTGAATTTGTATCGTGTTCAATCCTTCAACTCTAAGCAAATATCATGCAATTTACATTCAGAAATGCTGGGAGATAAAATTTGTAGATAAATTTTTGTAAACTAAATGATATAAAGTTAATGATTGAATTATTGCTTAAGTGTTGATAAACGTGCTCATTTCTTATTGGTAATACATAATTTGGTTTGCAAATTTTATCTATAAATTTAGTCTCCCTATTATTATCTTCCAAATAAGCTCTTTTAAGTTTCCAAGCTTCATTAATATACACCAAACCAAATCTTCTCATTTTTAAATTAGGATTTACCCTAAGAGTAGTTCCACCGCTGCTCTTAGCCCGGCACCCAGGCCAAAAATGGACCGGCATCCATGAAATTTGCTCCACCCCAGCCTAAGCCAGGCCACATGCCAGCCCAGAATCGACAGAGGAAGGAGATGGCCCATCTGACACCATGCTGACGTCATGGCTACCGTCTCTCTCACCTGCACCGCCCTCCGCGGAACCCCATCCGATCCCATTCCATAACTCCGTTGATCTCCACCTCCATCATTCTCCGCCTCACCTCCGACGCCTCCCAAACCCTGGAACCCCATTTGATCCCTTGCCAATCCTGGGGCTCCGGTTGCTCCGCGCAGGGACCAAACTCGGCAGGTGAAATCGGTTGGGTATGATTGCGAGACGTGTCGGGAAGAAGGTGGTGGGTGTCCGTGTTTAGAGTTTGGTGGGTTCGACGATGTCGTTTCGGAGTGTGGGTTGGGTTCCAGAGAGGAGAAGAAGAAGGGAGTCCAAAGAATCTTACAGAATTCGTGGAATTGGAGAAACTGTGCTTGATCGCATAGTTGGAAAATCAGGGAAGAAAATGGGAAAAGTGGGAAGAAGAAGAAGAAGAAGAAGAAGGGAGTCCAGAGAGAAGAAGAAGAAGGGAGAAGAAGGAGGAAATTAAAAATCAAATTATTATTTTGGGTGAAGTGCAAATTTAGTCCCTGAATTATCACCTCAGTGAAAATTAGGTCCTTGAATTATTTTTTCAGTAAAATAAGTCCCTAAATTCATTAGAAATTGCTAATTTCATCCCTATTATTATATTCAAAGCTATTTTATCTAATTTTTCGTCAAATTGAGTCACTTGACACACTTTAGAATGTAATACCATCATTTTCTTGTTTATAAGTGCTTAACATTTCATATATGTTGCGAATTTAATGTCTAATTTACCCTTAAAAGTTAACTTACACTATTTCTTTATGAAAAACTACCAATTTCTCCTCCAAAGTTAACTCCATACACTATTTCTTTATGAAAAACTACCAATCTAGCCTTCAATGTGTATCACATGCAAGTAACGTGACTTAAATTGATGGAAAATTGAATATAGTAGCTTCGAATATAACATTAGGGATGTAATTGGCAGATTTTTATAATTCAGGGACTAATTTTTCTGAAAAAAAATAGTTTAGGGACCTAATTTTTACTAAGGTGATAATTCAGGGACTAAATTGGCAGTTTACCCTATTATTTTATAATAAAAATTAATAATATTTTAATAAAATTGACTAGGCTATTTAGTTTTAGAGGTGGAGATGCATTTGGCCTATTACTGTTCATTGGGGTCTATCACTTTTCATTGAGTAGATTAAATGGGCTGGGTGCTGGCGCATTTTTTTAGGGGTGGAATTGCTCTAAATCACTGCTCTTTTTTAAGTTTGACCATGCCCACGTGTTTGTCATATAATAATTTTGGAGAATTAGTTGTCTTAATAATTCTACCGCGTCTAAGTGCTAATCTAACTATTTAAATAAAGGAAAACTAATAAAAATGATTTGAAAACTTTGAGTTTTAATGATAAGGACAAAATAAAGGGTAAAGTGAATAGTACCAGGATTGATTTTTTAGTGTAAAAATATGGTTTTTCGTTAAAGTGAACAGTACCAGGAGTTTTTTGTTAAAGTTCCCTTTAAATAAAAAGGGTCCATAAGAGTAAAATGATGAGTTTACAAGGATGATATGATGGATCTATAAGGGTGTTTAATCTTTCATGTACAATTTTACTTCAGAATTGCAATAACGCTAATTTCACATCAATAAATCTGAAAAAAAGGGAGTCTTAACGAAACACTCATGGTACTGTTCACTTTTGACGTTAAGGACATTTTTACTCTAAAAAGTCACTCCTGATACTATTCACTTACAACACATTTTTGTCATTTTGGTTAAAACTCAAAGTTTCAAGTTTTTTTCATTAGTTTTACTAAAAAAAAAACTTAGTTATTATAAGTCCCAATTAAAGTTACATGTTGCACATGCTTTGTTGGGGAAGATTATTGTAGAACAATTTATTCTTTTCTAGTTGGATGTTTTGACTGATAATTTTGTAGTATGATTTTTATTTATTCGGCAATTAAAATGTTGAGTTCAATGTATTTGGGCTTGGAATTATCTATTTATTAATTGGAACTTCTCATGAAAATGGTTTTCCACAACATATTTTTAATAAAAAAACACTTGATAATTTTTTTTGGGTTAAACTCTGTTTACTACCCTGAAGTTTTGTGGTTTTCAACATTTAGTACATCAAGTTTTTTTCGTCCCAGAGTCATACCTAAAGTGTAAATTTTGGGACAGTCTTATACATCCGTTAGTCAAACTGTTAAGTTTTCTGTTAACTGTGACGTGGCGCCCATGTGGACAATGACTGGGCGCCACGTGGAATTTTTTTTTTTAGAGAAGGGATTTCAGTTAAAAAAAAAAAATTCAAAAAAAAATTTTCCGCCCAAAATTTTTTTCCCACAACCATGTACTTACAATTTTTTTTCCCGCCAAAATTTTTTGAAAAAACTTTTCCTCCCCTTCTTCTTCTTCCTCGGGAGGACGAACTGGGTTCCCCTTTTCTTTTTTTTTTTCTTTTTTTTCTTCTTCCTCCTCCTCCTCCTCCTCCTCCTCCTCCTCCTCCTCCTCCTTCTTCTTCTTCTTCTAAGTTGCAGGGGGTTGGGTTTTGGGGGGTGGACGAACTGGGTTCGGTTTTTTTTTTTTTTTTTTTTTTTTTCTTCTTCTCTCTTCCTTCTTCTTCTTCTTCTTCTTCTTCTTCTTGGGTTTTGGGGGTGGATGAACTGGGTTCGGTTTTCTTTTTTTTTTTTTTTTTTCTTCTTCCTCCTCCTCCTTCTTCTTCTTCTTCTTCTTCTTCTTCTTCTTCTTCTTCTTCTTCTTCTTCGGGGGGACGAACTAGGTTCCTTTTTTTCTTCTTCCTTCTTCTTCTTCTTCTTCTTCCGGGTTTTTTTTTTGTTTTTTTTTCCTTCTTCTTCTTCTTCTTCTTTGGGGCAACGAACTGGGTTCCTTTTTTTTTTTTTTTTTTTTTTCATTCTTCTTCTTCTTCTTCTTCGGGGCAACGAACTGGGTTCCTTTTTTTTTTTTTTTTTTTCTTCTTCCTCCTCCTTCTTCTTCTTCTTCTTCCTCGGGGGGACGAAC